TGAAATCTTGTAAAAGCCTCTAAGCGAGGTTCGTAGATAGGTTGTCCAATCTACCGTGTCATCACTGGTTGTTCATAGAGAATTAGGTTTGCTACTTCTTATGATGTAGATGTGCAATCCTTTTTGTTAGCGAAGTAAAATTATATGTGCATTTTATTCTTCTGACAAGCCAGAAAGTATTTCCCGATATGCATTTGTTCCTGCATTCAGAATTTCAGATGAACTAATTTTTGCACATGAGCTCATTCTTTGCTCGTTCAAATTCTTGGGATGCCGAAGTCTTCTTCCTCTTGCATCAATTGGAGGGACGTCGTGAACAGAACTCGTTGCGATCTCTGGGCCTTCATCTTGCCAAAGCAAACTTGTTTAAATCTAGGAGCTTATAGAAGCAGCGATCAAGGAGTTGTCATGTAGACCTGAAATGCCGTCGGCCGCACCCTAGAGAAGAAACTTTGAAGAGGGCCTATAGAATGGTCGAGGTCCAGCCAAAGGAGCAAATTTTACTTAGTGTCTGTTTGTAGTTCTCCAACTCCCAACTCCCAACTCCTTCAACTCCCGGTTTGGAGCTGGTCCGAACAGGGTAAATCCTTGAGTTTAGAACAAGAAGTTGGCTAGCAATTCGCAGCTTCCAGTTTCTTGGTAACCATTGGGCCAGAGGAATAGGAGTTTGCACGTGGGAGATTGGATAGTGATTAGAGCATCTCTAGCAGACCCTGCATCCCATCGACCCGCAAAACGCGTTTGCACTTCACGGAAAAACGGCATTGCGGCCGGTGCGGACGGCCGCAGAGACAGATCCCGCAAAATGGATCTGTATAAAAGGATATTCGCGGAATATACTCTTTTACGGGCCGACTTTGCGGGGTCTGCTCTTGCATCGCTGCCGCCGGTTCGCAAATATCAATACCACACAACAAAAATACAACAATCATCCACACTATAAAATAATTATTTAGAAAAATTATCAATACCAACACAATACAACTCTTTGCCAATGGTGCTCAATGAGATCCTCCTGAAGCTGAAAGTGGGTGTTTGCATTTTCAATCTCTTTGTATGTCTGAATAAAAGCTCTAATGCGGTTAGGGTCTCTAGCTGGTTTGACACGGCTACCCACATTGTCGTAGAAGAACTCCAAGTTCATGCCCCTCTCATATTCCAGAATCATAATCATATTGTGAAGGATAACACAACATGTCATGATGTTTTTCAAGGTTTGCTTGTCCCAAAAAACGAGCAGGACCACGAACAAGGGCAAACCTAGATTGCAAAACCCCGAATGCTCTTTCAATGTCTTTTCGGGCTGCCTCTTGCACCCTTGCGAATTCACATTGTTTTCTAGTTTTGGGTTCTTTGATGCTCTTGATAAATGTGCACCAAGGAGGGTATATGTCATCTGCAAGATAGTACCCTTTTGTGTATTCATGCCCATTGATAGTGTAGTTGCAAGCAGGAGCATCACCACTAGCAAGCCTAGCAAACAAATGAGACTGTTGCAACACATTGATATCATTGAGTGCCCGACATACCAAAAAAGCAATGCCATATCCATAAATCCTCGGATGCTATGGCCTCGCATCACGAGACTAGCCACAATACATTTCCTGCCATGCCTTCGGGCAATTTTTCCAAGTCCAATGCATACAATCAATGCTATCTAGCATGTCAGGCCAACCTCTCCTCTCATTAGACGCCATCAATTTTTTTGCGTCATTCTCGTTGGGTGCCCGAAGATATTCAGGACCAAAGACACGGATGATCACTTTGGCAAACCTACACACTGACTCAATTGTGGTATCTTGACCAGTGCGAAGGTACTCATCGACATAGTCAGCCGGGATGCCATATGCAACACCCGCATAGCTGCCGAGATTTTTTGATATGCACTAAATCCCTTCAAGCCCGCAGCATTTCTTCTTTGAGTAAATTTGCCTCGCAAGCGTGAACAATTTTCACAAAGAGGGACCGGCGCATTAGGTACCTTCTCCGGAAGAGCTGCGGTGGATATGTTGGATTCTCCGCGAAGTAGTCTTGCATCAACATCTCGTTCCCGAGATGGCGATTCCGAGGAATGCAAAGACGCCCAATGGTCGATCCTCGCCGCCTCTTTCGGTTCTGTCTTCGTGCTCCTTAATGGCAAGAGCCATCACCAACGTGTGCTGCCGATAGTTTGCAAGCAGCGTCTCAACACCCGAGTCGTCCGAATCGGACGAATCGTCGAGCAAAACCTTCTCGCACGGGCTCAATTCCATCTACATGAACAAAAATTGCACGCCGCGTCAACAAATATGCATAGTGCTAGGCACAAAGCACAAGCAAAGACTAATCGGCGGCTCATGGGGCGAGTGATCCCGAGCGGGGACTAGGGGAGGCGACGAGGGGCGGCTCGAGGGCGGTCGATCCCCGACGGCTACGGCGACCAGGGGCGGCTCTTCTCGCAGGATCCGGGGGGCGGTGCAGCGTATCGATGGTGGAGGGTGGGGGACGCCCCCGCGACACGATTCCGCCCGCAGATTTGGCCGGAATCGCCGGCGGCGGACTGGCAGAACCAATGGCGAGCGGCGGCGGAAGGAGGTGGGGAAAGGGCGCGGGCTGAAATGTCCCTCCCGCCAACCGCTTCCCTGCGATAGGGGGCACCGTAGGGGCGAGGCGGAAACCTGTGCATTCACGGGTTGGGGCCGAGATTTTGCCGCGCCCCTCAAAAATTTTATGGGCCGGCCGCGTTTGCGGTGTCTGTTCGGGCGGGATTTTCCATGCCGACCCGCATTTTGGCGGTTATTTTGCGGGTGGGGGCTTTTTGCGGGGTCTGCTAGAGTTGCTCTTAGACATGAGAGGTAGATTTTTTACTTCCATTCCTTTTTTGGTATAAGTTGAGAATTAAATTGGAATAGAGATCCTCGAATTAATAAGGTACCCCATGGGAAGAAAACAGTGAGAATTAGCCATCTCAATTCTCATTCCCCCTCTCACTTAAATTCTCATTCCCTCTAATCAATCAAAGGACTTTTTATCTCCTCACCCCTCAACTCCCATTCCCCACCTCTAATTCGCACGAACCAAACATGCTACGAGAGTTGGCCTAAACCCCTTGTTGCCACCCCAAAGTAAGCGAGCACAACGTTTCAAACATGCCCTCAATCCCATGATCCCAAAATCTTTTTTTAAACCACGACCGAAACAAACTATGTCCATTCCCAGAGCCCGTCGCCTCATGCGTCGTCGGCCCTGCTGCCCCACGCACAGTTGAGGCCATCGCCCCACGCGCTTCATGAGCCACCGACCAAGCTGATCGGCTGGCCCCGCGCCCTAGATGACTCGAGTGATCAGCCGGCACCGTCGGGGCCTCCCGTGACTCGCTCTCCACCATAGATCCAATGCCGGTCGAGGTTCCTATCCGCCGCCACTCTAGGATCCCCCAACAGCCACGCCCATGCTCTGTGTACGAGCAAGAAGTTGTGTCGTTGAATCCCCCCTAAGAACGAAGGTTGTGTCGCCGAACGTGATGTAGGGTAGAACCCTAGAGGCCGATCTTTCACGTTTGAAGCAGATCCGTACGAGGAACACGAAGAACACGAGGAGGGGAACAAGGGAAAAACACGAGAGAACACTCAACCAACAAGAATAAAGTCACACATGCGCTAGATCATCGAGGCACAAGGTAATACAAGATCCCAATCCAACAAGGAACGATACATAGGGTAACTGATTCTTCTCCATGAGGAGGTCTTGAAGATGGTCTTCTCCAAAAGGAGGTCTTGAATCCAACAAGGATCTTCTCCGAAGAGGTGTCGGTCCCTCGCGAAGGAGTAGCGGATGGATGAGCGAGGCTCTATCTCATGAATGAGCTAAATCAACGCTAACCCTCTCTAGGAGGAGGAGGAGGTCTATTTATAGTCTAAGTGCAAATGGGGGCGAAGTGAAAGGGTACATGGGCCTCAGGCCCGAAGCTGCGCACACACAGGCGTCGGTCGTCCGACAGGTACCGGACGTCCGGTGCCTCGCGAGGGTCCGGTCGTCCGGTGCTTGTCGGACGTCCGGCGTTTTGGCTCTGGACAGGTGGCGTCGGACGTCCGGAGGTCTTCGGACTTCCGATGTTTCCGTACTGGCTGTTGGTGTCGGACGTCCGGTCGGGGTCGGTCGTCCGGACGCTGATGAGTGTCGGACGTCCGGCGTCGGGCGGTCGTCCGGGCGCTGTAGGTAGCCTCGGCTGGAGTCGATCTGGCTGGTGAAGTCTCCAGGCGTCGGACGTCCGGAGATCGTCGGTCGTCCGGAGGTCGTCGGACGTCCGAGAGCTGTAGCTTCCTGGCAGCTCTTCCTCTTGTTCCTTGCGCTTGGTGTCCTCGCCGTCTTGTCCAATGCTCCTAGTTGTTCCATGGCCTTCCTCCTGGTTCCTAGACATGCATAACACACATGTTTGAGGTAGTAGCCATATCTCACATGTGGAAAGTGACAATTCGTAGAGGAGCGAGTTCACCTTATGTCTAATGGCGTATGTTCGAGGTCTCGTCATGTCCCTTTGGGGCTTGGAGAGCAGTCAGAGTGTACATGGGGATGAACATGGGATGCTCCGCATCATCTCCCCCCCCCTTGGGAAAGATCCGACCTCGGATCATGATCCTCATCACCATGGAAACGGTTGTCGTGGACGGACTTGTAGTTGGACGAAATTGAAGACATGGCGCAATCCAAGTACTCCAAGGTGTCTCCAGAGTGGTATTCATGCAAAAAGAGCAAACACAAGCGACACTCAGAAATACAATGGTTAGTGACACAAAGTGTCCATCAAGTAAGTATGAGTCTGTTGGGCAAGATTGTGTGTGACAAAGCGTATGAAGCTTATCAAGATGATCTAGAATGATATGCAAAGCATTCATGGGAGGAAATGCAATCATTGTGCACACAAATATGTTGTGAATATGATCAATGCAACCACGATGCAAAATGATGTCATAGTGAGACGGTTTATCAATAGCATGAATATGGCAATGGATGCTCAACATGTGTATGTAATCATGCAATTGAT